ACTGAGCCTGGTTCTGCTGGAGGTTTCTTCCTGTTAAAAGGGAGTTTTTCCTCTCCACTGTCGCTACAAGCATGCTTAGTGTGAGGGATTGCATTCCAGTCAAGTTGATGCAATGAACTGGTTTTCCTTAGATAGAAAACTCTGAATCAATTTGACTGTATGATCTGGTGAACTGTAAAGTGCCTTGAGAATTGGCGCTATATAAATAAACTGAATTGATTTGAATTACTGTAGAGAGGAAAAAAAATCATCCAGATAAATCTCCCGTTTACGCCAAAATTCCATTTCTAGTAACTCCAGTATTTTTTCTGGCATCTCAATTAAAAAACAAACAAAGAATCAATGAAAAATGGTTTTGAAAACTTAAGAAAGCCAAGATATCGCAACCTAAACTTAGAACACACAATACTGCTGCTCTTTGGAGTCACAGTTGGGCGAAGGTTTAATTTATGACCGCCCTAACTACCACGGAGTTCCTCCTATCTGAAACCAACTCTCCTGATGCACCTTGCTCGCTCGCTGCCAGATCAGCTAATGTGAACCATGCAAGCGTAGAGTAATACCACATTAATTTAACACCTGGATGAACAATCAGTCAGTTGTAAGCACAACAACGGACAACTGTAGACGACTGGGATCAGGACACTCGAACCCATATTTACTCTGCGTAGGAGAAGGGTGGAGGCAGGTGCATTAGTGAAATGCCTCAGTCAGGCTTTATGAGGTGTAGAAAGAAAAGTGTGTTTGCATTTCTTTTGTGGAATGATTTCAAGTGTAAAAGCTGAGAATCAGAAGACTGCTGGATAAATCTGGTTTAAAGCCATTGAGAGATTTGGAAGGAGAATAAAATTTGTTTAAATGTGAAACAAACTTTTTTTGTTTGGTGTAAACTTGAAGGGAAGGACATTTTCTAAATGGCAAGTGACATCGTTTGCATTTTATCGGTTTTATTTAAAGAAACATCTGTTTATAGGAGACATTCAACAAATGTAAGCCACTCTATCTTGTTTGGAGTCCAAGGTCCACTGAGTGCACAATGTGATAGTATGCTAACTGTAACAAACACTAATCTGCCTCAACACTCAGAATTTCCAAGAAGAATTCAAGAAGTTTTCAATTTATGACAAATCTTCAGTGTTTCAGCTTTAACATTACATTTCACACCTTCCATATGTTAACATTTAAATCTACTTTACCCTTAGCAAAAAGTAGTATACTTCAAGTAAATTCTATTACGAATACATAAGTATAAGTTTAGAAAGTATACCGAACAATGTACTTTTAGTGTACTTGAAGTATTACTAAAGTAATACTTCTTCGAACTAAATTTTTAAGTTTAATAAAGTATACTTAAAGTATACAATAAACAAACAATAAAGTAAACAATATTATAGTCAAGTACACTTGACTATATTATTGTTAAGTATATGAAATATAGTTCAGAATAAGTAAACTCTAAGTGCACTGCCTGATTTTAAGTATGAAATTAATGCACTTGTAGTATACTTGAATAAACTACTTTTTGATCAAGGGTAGGGTGTCCTGAAAACTTCCCATAACAATCCCATTTAATTTTATCTGTCATCTTTCATGTTTAAAACTGGGTTTTATTTCCTAATCTCATGTTAATCTTTGTGCAGATTCCAGATGTGTTTCTCTATCCATGCTCATGCAAACAGCAGCTGCCCAGCCTCCAGGTGCAGTCCTCTGCCACTCACCGTCCTCGTGGATCCGCGCCGCGTGCATCTGCTCCACCAGTGACAGGATCTTGCCCCACTGGCACTCGGCCCGGTAGCGCTCCAGCTCCGCTTCCAGCCGGATCTGCGTGAAGGAGACCCGGGACGTCATCGCCGCTCTGTCCCGCTGCTGGTGGCTGTAGTCCCCGGACACGATGGGAGTAACTGCGGACTAAGCAGGAGGAATAAATGGGAAAGCTTTGAGTGCGCAGGGTGGGGTGGGGTGTGGATCATTACTGTATGCAGGAAACAACACATAAAACACAGATTATAATGTGTTATTTAAACATTAAAACAAAAACACCAATTGAAATGAGTGTTTTTGAAAACTTAACATTGAAAAGAAAAAGTTAAACTCTGAGTTTGAGGTAAAATGTTCCAGCTACTTTAAAATTAAAAAGCTAAAACTTATAAATTATTGCAACAGTAAAAGTTTTATTTTTTTCTTTCCCAATAAAATTTTTCTCAAACAGTCATGGGGAGACTGTGGAGCCGCAGACAGTTAGAAAGCAAGATATTTATTAGCTATAAACTCTGGTTATTTACAGAGTGCCTGGTGGAAAGTTTAGTGGAAGGAAAAAAGTGAAGGAGAAAAGGTACTCAAGCTAAAGGGATGATTGTGATTTTTGAGCGAACAGTAAAACAAATTCAGTGAAGGAGTTGTTGTTTAAAGCTGGCGTCAGTAATCTAGCACATCTGATATCCATTAGGTGGGCTGCAGCTATAGCATTCATGTGTTTTCTTCTCGCCCAGACTTGTATTATCCTCGACTCTGCGCAGTGAATCTAATAACATGAAACCTTTAACTGCCTTGGTTCTGTTATGTTTTCCTTTTCTCCTTGTTTTCTAGTTTTATTGGTTTAATTCCTGTTTTGTTGTATTTTCTGGTTATATTTCAGCTCTTAGATTTTTATTTGTTGCCCTCTGATGCCCTCTTGTGTTGGTCTCCTAGCTCCTTTCTAGACTCCTCTCTTCACACCTGCTACCAATCAGCTCGTTAGTCCTCTCTTTGTTCAGTCTACCATAAATACTCTCCTTGTGCAGTTCCTCAGTGCTGGTTCCACTTCTTCCTCGCCTTAATTCGTCTCTTCTCGCCTTTCCCTGACTCTACGTGCTCTTTTCCCCTGATTAAAACTGCAACAAATCACCTCTGCCTCTCTGCCTCTGCATTTGGGTCCTCTAAAACCACAACCAAACTCTGACAGCAAAAGGTTTGGATGGAGACTGAAACAGGCTACTACCTTAAACTCTTATATTTATCTTTCTAAAAATAAAGTTATTTCCTAAACTTTAATTTCTAAATGTAATTATTTATTGGGGCAGATATTTCAATATCTCCTAGGGCACTGCATCGTCTTTCAAGAAAGAAAAAAAAAAACAATTCTGGGTCTGGACCTTATACACATATACTGAGGATTGGAGATTATTATTATTTTATCTATTTATTTATCTCAGTAAATGTTACTTATTAGCGGCAGGCTAGCTATAATGTTAAGTCACCTGTCCTGCCAACAGGAAGCCTTGGTTTGGATCCCAGCTGGGAGGAATGAGCTGCCAGTATGGGTCCTTAGGCAAGACCCTTAATGCTAATGCCTGCTTTGGGGAGTGGCGGTCCAGTGGTTCAGGCATTTAAGTTAGAATCCTGAGGTTCTGAGTTCAAGCCCCACTCCTACAGACTGCCACTCTGGCTCCCTGAGCAAAGACCCTTAACCCACACTGCTTGCACAATGTCAGCCCGCTGCTCCCCATGGTGATGGGTTAAATGCAAAGAGTTAATTTCATTGCTCTGTACTTGTGACAGTATAATGTCAATAAAAACACTGGGGGAAAAAATTCTGTTGATGCCCTTAATCTGAAATCATTTTTGTGCTCTGTGTTTTAATTCACACCAATGTTTGTTTAATTATTATCCCCATCGGAAAACAAAGAATATTAAATCTTAATTCTTATTATTTATTGCTACATGATTCCCATATGGCTCTAAAAGAAAACTTTGTAGCTGAACTGGTTTTGCTGTTTAAACAAAATTAAGTTTAAAAATATAAGCTGACATTTAAATTTGCTTTCCTGCTTTACAGAGAGAGGATATTAAAACTTAAACAAGTTAATTAAGGCTTGCATATCATGTAAAAGTGTAGATACTCACTTGTGGGGAGTGTTGGCCTAGTGGTGTGTTCTAAGAAGGTTGCAAGTTCTCGGTTTGATCCCCACAGCCTGGACTCTGGGTCCCTGAGCAAGACCCTTGGCGCCACACAATGGCAGCCCATTGCTCACAATGGGATGGGTTAAATGCAGAGATAAATTTTTCCAATGTGAGATCAATTAAGTTTATTTATTATTCTGTCTATTTTCATAGTTATGTTTGCAGAGCAAAAGGGGTTAATGTTTTTTTTAATAATTACTTTTATTATTATTTATTTTTGTGTGTATATTCATATAGTAATCCATTGCATTTTTAACAGGTCATTTTATGCTAATTTAATTTAATGTATTGTTGATGCTTGTTTTGTGAATGTGCTAATCTCTTATTTTTACTCAAGTTGCAGGGTTTTTTTCTTTTGTTTTTCTATTCAGATTTTAGGTCACTATAGTGTCGAAAATTAACTTTTTTGTGCGCCTGAGACAAATAGGATTCCCATGATACCTTTTACAAAAAAAACTCTGTGACTTTACTGAAAAACCAACAAACAAAAAATAAACTGTAGGCCTACTGGATAGGATTGTGGGATCAACTGTCTAATCTGAGCTCCATAGTTTTCTCACATGCTTCAAAATACATAAAGCAAGCTGCCTGAGGTGACTGTCACACCCCCAGTCTAGTGAATTCATCAACCCTTTCTCTTAAAACATTTATTTAACCAAAAATCTGGAATCTCTTATTCAGGGCTCCATTTGTCAGTGAACTGACTCTGCATGAGAGGCCTTGACTTGTAGCGGCAGGAAGACAGGATACTCTTAAGAGCCAAGTTTCTAATCTTACTCTGTTAACACTTTAACTGGATCAGGCAGGGCTTAAGAAACAGCAAAGCAAAACTGTGACTGGAAACAAACAAGTGCAACATGATGCTCGGCCTGTAACATGATGTCGTAGTTTAAAATGATATTGTTCATGGATGGAAAAACCCCAACAGAAAATATGCAAATGTTTGGCTTGGTCCCTGCTCTGCACTCTGCATCAGCCTGACACCAGCTTACCTCCTTTGGCTAAGATACAAATTTATACATCTGCTAGTCTGTGCTCTATGACATTTACTTCAACTTTATGAAGCACTGGAGAGTACAGCTCGTTTATTGCTGCTTTGGTTCCATAAGAGTAAAATTTAATAATAGAAGGAAAACTCTATGGATAAACTGAAGGGAAATGATTAAAGCAGGCTGTAACAGCAGCTTGAATCAAATGAAACACAACACTGGGGATAAACACAAGGGACAATGGGTATTCTATAGAGTCTAAGTCAGCTACTGTGAGACATTAAGAAACCTCGAGCCTCTTGAAGAGAGATTTGGAAGCGTCATTTTCTCTGGGGAAAGTTGACATTTGCGTTACATGAAAAGTGTCTCTCCGTCTCCTCAATGAGCGTCCAACTGCTCAGCATGTCCCTGTCTGATTAATCTGGACCTGGGACCTCAGCAGTGGATTTGCTCTCCCTGCTGACTGAAAGGAGTCACTGTTTCCTCAAAGGTTGATATCCTGCAAAGATAGTTTACTGCTTAAAGAGATAAGCTCACAGATTTTTATGCTCTTCTGACCAACCAGTTTGGAACTACACCAGCTGGAGATTTAATCTAAGATACAGCTGATGGTTAAATAAAACCACTCAGACAAACTTGTTTACATAGAAATGTAAACCCCTAACTCATTTAACTAAAATCTTTTTTTGTTTGTTTCAATCAAAGATGAATAATGCAACCAAACTGCAGCAAACTAGTTTATTTATGCAAACAAAATAATATTCTAGTTAACTAGCATGACTTAAAATGTTTATAAGATGTTTTTTGTGTGTTTAAAAACCCTCTCTTTTATCTTATTCATTTTTACCTGACCAATTGGCATTTATAAATGTAAATGTTTTCTGCGATAGCTTCAGAAATGGAATAGGCCTACATTTATTTGTAAGTTATTTAAGATAAATTATTAGTAGCTGTAAGGATAATTTTGATTTATTCAATTTATTTGGTTCATGTCCAGTATGTCAGCAGTCGCACAAGGAAAATTCATTAGGCCTACTTCATATCTACATATCTTCATTAACATTGGTATTACAGTCAGTTCAGGAGTTTAGGGTGCTGGCTGAAGCACAGATAAAAATGTATGGAAATGCATAATATTTAATGACTTTATATCAATGTTTTTATCTATCCACAATAACAGGGATTTAAATATCGGACATCAATTTTGGCCCAATTTATCATGGTGCATCTGGGTTTAAAACAAATAAAGAGTTTATTTGTCCTATGTATAGTCAAGCTAAAAGTAGCTAAAAGGAGAATTACTACTTCCCCTAAACCCCTTATCTTTATAACAGTTGACTCAGCTTAAGAGAGCTGAAAAGTACCAGAGCATATTGCTGTCACTTGAGAAAAAATATTTTGCTAATTATATTGTATTAAACGTGATAATTATCACGTTTATACAATATAATTTGCACAGAAAAAATTTTCTCAAGTGACAGCAATACGCTTCAGTATTTATACAATATAATTTGCAAAAATGTATTTTCTCAAGTGACAGCAATAGGTTTCCGTAGAAAAGGGAACTTCAGCCTCAATGGCTTTAATAGCAACGATATTCCCTCTCCAATATGGCGGGAGGGTTGACGAGTCAATGGGAAGTTATATAGCTGATGTTTGTTCTTAAAACACAAAGATAACAAAATTATACATGAATGCCAGAACAATTCACAGTTTACGTGTTTTTATTTATTAATTATTACAGCTCTGCAGTTAATACATATACATAAATTTTACTTTTTTAAACGGTGGAATCTGACATCTGAGAGCGAACGTTGGTGGAGAGAAAGATCTCGTCTCAGTTGCATCTTCTTTGATCGTTTCGACCAATCAAAAATGAGCTGTCGTGTCCATAAGCGGGTACGGCAAGCTACGTGGTCCGTAAAAGTTGTTCCGCGCTTATCGTCGCAGACAGGAAAGGGACTAAACAACACGTTAACGGTTCGCAGCGGGAGACACCGATTACTTCAAAGTGAGAATTTAAAATAATGTTTTGCGTTTTTTCACTTTGCATGTTGCTTTTGTGTACTTATCTAGCAGCTTTTAGTATGGGAATAAGTTATTGTGCTAGGTGTGGTAGCTAACATCAATGTTTGTTTACTTCTTTTGGACATTTAACTGTAAACACATGTGTTAAACAGGAGAGAGCTGAAGTCAACATCTAAGTAATAGCGATTATAGTCCTGTATTGTCAGTTTATTGACTTTGCTGCATCAAATCTGTGTTTGTTGTCCAGATTAATCTGTGATCTTTGATTTACAGAGTATGATAAAATATATTTAAATCTACTGCTTTTGTCTTCTGCAGAATGAGGCGTCCTACACTGTCCTGGTGTCTGTTCCTCATCCTGTCCTCTTCTTTACTGTGTGCTGACTCTCAGGTGTCTCCACACCAGCAGCAGCCCCCTCCTGTAGTGGGAGGCTCAGCCCATATTAATCGCCTGGACAGAAACATGGTGCAAGACAAAGAGTGAGCAACACTCCCGAAGCACCTTTTCACACTAGTGTCTGACCAAAAGCCCATCGCTGTGTTTCTTTCCTTTCAGCCACATTATGGAACATTTGGAGGGGGTCATTGATAAACCTGAGAAAGACATGTCGCCCCAGGAGCTTCAGCTGCATTACTTTAAAATGCACGATTATGATGGAAACGACCTGCTGGACGGCCTTGAGTTGGCCACTGCTATCACACATGTGCATAGAGAGGTAGGGGAGATCATTGACATAAATGATCTGTTGTTAAAGTTCTGATATTACTTTGATTAAGTGCTACACAGACAATATATTGAGACAAAAAAATACATGAGGGGCTACAGAAAAGTTTTCTTTTAAATAGGCCTGCAACTAATGATTATTTTGGCAATTGATCATCTATTATTTTTTCGATTAATTATTGAATAGCCAAAGGTTCCTTAAAGAAACTTTTTTTATGATATCAAACCAGGTGAATCTAAACTTTTTCCACTTGTGGATTTCTGGATAGAGCATATTTACAGACTTAACTTTTTTTTTTTTATCTTGCATGCAAAATGTTTATTTTTATAATCTTTGTATATATACTACTCTAAGTCGGTTGCTCTATCAGCTAAAGGCCATTTTTAGCCTATCTTTAGGGGGAGTGGCAGCCCAGTGGTTAGGGCACAGAGCTTGGAATCCTGAGGTTCTGAGTTCAAGCCCCACTCCCACAGACTGCCACTCTGGCTCTCTGAGCAAAAGACCCTTAATCCCACGATGCTCTCCGGGCGCCCCATGATGGCAGCCTGGTGCGTCCCAAGGAGATGAGTTAAATGCAAAGAGTTCAATTCGTTGCTCTGCACTTGCGACAAGGTAATGACTATTAAAAAGCTGAGGGAAAAAAATTAACTGTAATCCACTTAACGAGTAATTCTTTACTAAATTAGTTGATGATTTCAATAATCGATTAATTCAATTAAGCCGATGAAAGCACCTGAGTAAGCTCTAAAGTTACGTAAATGATCTATTTTTGTAAAAAAAAAAAAATATTTTTTTTATTTGAATGATAAGCAGAACTGATTTGATTTTATTTAAAGCTGAGTCTCATTTCATTAATAATTTTTATTTTTTATTTAACCTTTATTTAACCAGGGGGAAAAAATCCCATTGTGATTAAAAACCTCTTTTTCAAGGGAGTCCTGGTCAAGAGGCAGCAAAGTTACATTAAACATAGATACATTAAAATAAATGACAGGTACATAAAAAAAAACAAAAAAAAAACATATCAAGTAAAACAATTAAAGATCATTGAGGCTGCTTCAAATTCTTTCACTTTCAACTTAATAGCATTTAAAGATAAAAACTCAGGCAACTTCCAGCTTCTTTGTAAAATATTCTACTCAGAAGGAGCTGCGTAGCTAAAGGCTTTCTTCCCCAGTTCTGTTCTGGCAAAAGGAACAGTGAGCAACAGCTGATGGTTGGATCTCAGGGTATAAGAAGCCATGCTTTTATGTGTAAGTAAGATACAAATGTAAGAGGGCAGTAATCCAAGAAGGGCCTTGTAAATAAATGTGTATCAATGACACTGCCTTCTCATAAATTTAGTATTTATTTCAACATTATTTCTGCTGTATATGTGCTCAAGTGAAAGAAAAAGAGCCCAGTGACCCCCATTTTTGTTGTTTGGATGCATAACTTCAATGTTTCAGCTGGTTGAGGAGTTGGTGCCGTCCACACTGTGGTGGCTTTAAAATTCCAAACCCCAGGAGCAGGTTTCAAATGTCGTCCGTTTCACCAACCTCCCGGTCTGGCCGTCAAGCTCCTATCTGACCTTAAAGTTTTCTGGATATTCCCAAACCTGACTTTGTCTGGGCGGGGCCTAAAAAAGATTTAGCAGCTTAACTTAAATTGGCAAATCTGCATCTAAATAAAACACACATTTATCTTGCTTTTGCAAAAATATCCTTTAGAACAGATATCCAAACATTTCAGACCCAATAAATACCTGTGCTGGCCCTTATTTAATACATCACTTTTATATTTATTTTTACAAAATGATCAAATAAACTAATCATATTAGTTCTAAAATACATTTTTTTAAATGAAATATAAATATTTGATTATTACAAATGTTTATTATTTATTTAATAGGATATTTAATAATATAATTGTGCATTTTACACTTTAATGGTATATTTATTTTGCCCCTTCATATACTGCATGGATGCAATCACAATGATTTTAAAAAAGATTTTGCATCCCCACACATTGGGAATCTCTGCTCAAAAGCAGAAAATCAAATTCTCTGTCCTGATAGAATCCTTATGATTTCCAAAGTACATAAAGTTTGTTTATTTACCGAGACCACAGTGTTTAACTTCTTCACTCCTTGATATGCAGGAGAGAGGGGAGCACAGCCAGCCAATGAAGGAGGAGGAGCTCATCGCATTAATCGACGACGTCCTGAGGGACGATGACAAAAACAACGACGGCTACATCGATTACGCGGAGTTTGCCAAATCACTGGAGTAGATCATCCTGCTGTTTCTTTGTTTCTCTGCATCCGGGAGGAAAACCAGGAGAAACATGAATGAGGGGAGGGGCGGCGAGTTTGCACATTCTGAGCCGAACTCGCTGCGTCTTTCACAGACAATAAATCAGGGGTACTTAATTTACAAATCACTTGACAATTCATCATACCAGATGGTAGAAACATGAATCTCTGTAATTTCACAAACGATGAGAAAAAAAGGAGAAAAAATGTAGACTTTGTACCCCGTTTTTGTAAACTGTGATTTTCAAGGGTCAGTTTAACCAAATGCTTTATTTATTTAGACCTTTAGACCTCTATTTTTTTATTTTCAAAGTATACCAGCAGACCTTTGTACTGAGCAATGTGTCAGATTTGATGATTAGCTCAGCAGCAGAAACCCTAAAGCTGTAAACAAATCGACAGTTTGGTAAAACTGACTCTGAGTGGGAGTTCACATCTCAGTAGCACAAGAACGGACCAGTTCATTTCAAACCCACGTCATTTTAGATAGATGAAGACACGCCAACTGTTTCAGTGTCTACTTTTAGGACCAAATAATCCCTTGTGATGACAATTAGGCCAATATATTGTTCCCATGGCAATATATAGGGGCCTTGATTAGATCCACTTTGGTTGTGAGATAAACAAGAAAACTTGTTTAAAAGTCACCAGCAGGGGATCAGTCAACCCTGCGTCCGCTGATCTATCATTCAGTCAGAGGATGCACGACTCTAATCAGTCACTGCAGGAATGTAAAGCAGAGCTGCATCAGATTCTGCTAAACTGAATAAGCTAGACTGAAAGCACACTGCCAGACTCTTCTGCTGGCTGGAGTTTCAGAAAAGCACTTAAATGAAACTGGTTTCCCTCAGATGTTGGCTGCCTTTAAGAAAAAAATCTATAAAACATAGTTTAAATGCATCAGGTAATAATTTAATCCACCTGTGTTCGACTGATATAGACCTTTTCATATGGATGAACTCTATTTTTTGCCAACCAGTGTTTATTCTTCTGTCTGTTCTGACTCTTGATGTAAAGACATAAATGTTTCTCTGGACTGTGAAAAGAAAACTGTTTTACTCTGTTACTTCAAGGTAAATTATGTTGTTTGGTTCTGGTGGATTAAAATCATGTAATCACATTTATTCTCTGATCTTTTTTTGTGTCTGTTTCATTGAATTTATAGGAAATAAGAATGCAAAGGACAAGTTAGAAATGTTTAGTATTTAAAGCCGATAAGGTCCTTAAATCACATTGAGATGTGATGCCCAATGAGAATTTAAATGTATTTTGAAAGATGTTGAGCAGTTCACTGGGCTGCTTCAAAGCTGCATTCCTGAGTGTGATGGTTCTGTTTCGGGCGTGCTCAGAACTGCCATAGGAAGAATATGGCTCTTCATTATCTAAGTTGCTTGACTGGTTCCTGTTAACACAACTGAGTGTGGGAGTTTCACACTAGCGTTGATCGATTTGCCCTTAGTAGTTATTTTAACTCTTGATGATCTTCTTATATCTTTTGAATCACCTCATAAGGACTCTATAATACAAAATACAGAGACTCCCTAATAATGTCATTACAATTCCCCAGGAGGACTGAAACTGATGGTGAATGTCAGAGGCTTCAAGTAACTTAGTATAAACACCAAGTGGCTGTATTTAACTCAGACTTGGACAACTTATAATGTAATTTTATATACACAGAGTATACAAAATGAAATTTCATTTAGTACAGGTCTTCAGACAGTAAATGAACATCTCCATTTCATAAAGGGCAGCAGTGATCAAATGTAAAGTGTGGGAGAAAAAAAAACATGGTGCAAAAACACATTGCTATTGAAGTTTATGCACTAAATATATATGGTGCATATATGCAGTATTTTGGTTTGGTGTTATCACTTTCATGCAGAATCTGTGACATGATTTAGAGTTTTTCACAGCATTCTGCTGTCTGATGGCAGTGGGGAAGAAACTGTTGCAGAATCTGCTGGACCTGCATTGGATGCTGTGGGTGTGAGGGGTCATTGATGATGTTACAGGCTCGGGACACGCAGTCCTGGGTTGAAATGTCTTTTATGGAGGGAAGAGGAGCCCCGATGATCTTCTCTGCTGTTCCTACCACTATTCTCACCTTCTTCCAGCCTCCAAGCCACACAGTGAGACAGCTGGTCCGAACGCTCTCTATGGTGCTTCTGTAGAAGGTGGTGAGGTGGGCTCTCCTCATCCTCCGCAGGAAGTACATGCAATTCTGTCCCCTTTTGACCTGTGAGGTTGTCTGTGATGTGCACCCCCAGGAATTTGGTAAATAGTTTTTTACTATCTTTACATAAAATATTTATTTTTCAGGGGACTTTTGATTTTTAACTCATTACATTTGAACACAAATTTTGATATGACAAAACAGCTGCAACATAACATGGTTTAATCAAGAGTTTTAACGTTTTCCTCTGCTGATACTGGACTTCTGTCCAGTTAAATATAAATTATCCTGTCGAAAATGTTATATTTAAAACCAAACTAGATAGAATCAATATTTTCTTGGTCTTTATTCCAACTCAGAAAGAAAAAGAAGAAAAAATAGAAAATTTTCTGGGCTACTTTAAGAGTTTTCTTTTTTTTTTTCTCCCATTTAAGGCAAAAAAAAATGCTTTTTACCATTGTACTTTTTTGAACTTTTTTACTTTCACTAAGCAAAATAACCCATACTTTTACTTTTTTCTATCTTTTTACAAATCAGTGATGGATATGGAGAAACCTGCTATACTTTAATTTCACAGATTATGAGGAAAGATTTCAGTGGCGACGACACCAGGGAGCAATGGTCAGGCAAAGGAACAGAAATAAAAAAGAAAAACAACTTTCCAAATCAGGATTATAGATCATGTAGATCTCAAAATGAACCAAAGCTTAAAGCAAAGATATCTTTAACATTTTACATGCATTTCAATGGAGTTAAAATTACAGTTTTTATTGTTGGTTTATGTAGAAAAAAATTGAAATGCAGATCAGGGACGACCGTGTGGGTTGTGCAGTTTTCCTTTTCTTCCTAGCTCCAAGGGGAAGCTGTATCCAGAGGCTGCATGGGGCCCAGAGGGAACATGGGTGATGCCAGGTTGTTTCGTAGAGATCCGTACCAGTCGTCATGCTGGTGCTGAGGTGCTGGCTGTTGGGGGCTGCTGGGACAAGGGCAGCGGCTGACTTGGCCTTGGTGGCGGGAGTAAGCCCCTGATGGAAGCATGGAAGACAGATGGGGGATGTGAGCCAATTGCTGGGGGTAATACTGCCGAGGCATGCCCCCCATCAGCGCCCTGTGGCCTGTCATCACACCCACAGGAAACACCTTCTGGGTTGCTCGCTCATGTTTGCGTTGTTTGGCTCTTCTGTTCTGGAACCACACCTGCTGAGACAAGATAACAGTGACTAACTGCCTCTTATGGCGTAGACATGGCGGAAACCATGTTTCTAGCTGTAATTGACAGAATGAGCTGAGTTTATTCAAGTAGTCTAACTTCCTGGATTTGTTTGCGCCTTTAAGCAAAGCCCAAAAGTTTTCATTATGACCGGAGAAGAGAATCTAAATGCCTTTGTTATCCATTTAACAGTCCCACCTGTATGCGAGCTTCATTGAGTTTGGTGATGCGAGCCAGCTCCTCCCGGCAGTAGATGTCAGGGTACTGATTTTGCTGGAAAGCTAACTCCAGCTGTTCCAGCTGCTTGTGACTGAAGGTTGTGCGGTGGCGCCTCCTGGCAGGAGAAGGGTAGGCTTTGCTTCCCCTGCTGAGGCCTACAGTCACGGAGGTCTCGCCCAATGCTCCTTTCCTCCCAGGCTCACCTATATCTGTTAACAAGCAAAATATAAAGGAAGAGACTTAGGCTTAACATGAAAAAAAAACTTCATTTTGAGTGGAGACAATTCTCCAGCTCCTGTTTCTTAACTTCTTTGCCATAGCAGGAAAAAAAACCTTCCTTCACTTGTATGTGTGCAGATCACCAAAAAGGAGGGATTAGACGGACTCAGAGGTTCCCACTGCCAGCAGCAACCTGAGAGCCACAGAGCTTTGGCTGCCTAAAGACAGGTTTGTGGGAAAGAGATACCAGAAACTGGAGGATTTGACCAAGATTATGTCCACAATCACTGATGGAGAGACCAATCTATGGAAATGGGGGAACGAGACGTCCGTTCACATCACTGCTTTTGCTATTTGCTTTAACATTTCATTTGTAGTTCAGTTTAAAACCACTGCTGATGCTTCAGATATGTTTATTTTATTCTGTTTCTGGAACAAATTATAAGGTTTCACTTAAAGTAAGAACAACTGAAGCTCCACCAGCAATTGTTAACATTATTACTAGCAAAAAGAAAACAAAACACCTAATTTCTACAAGTAAAGACGTTACAATCAATACACAGCACTTCTGTAATTTCCGTATATGCAGTATATTCTTCTCTAGAGTCAAGTATAAAATAAAAACTGAAACCTTTTAACCAGAACCTTTGCATTTAGGGTCAAGTCAGCAATAGTTAATACATCTGATTACTCCTTCAACCAACCTGCACTGGAGCTGACTGTAGCCATGTCAGAGTAAAGTTCTGCGAAGTCTTGGTGGCTCCTCTGTGTTCCACCTGCTGCCTTCACCTGGGCCATCGCTCTCTAGTTTTGGTCCAAGCACAGATGTACAGTCGCACTTCCAGGTCTCTGTCCCTCCCATCTCGTTTCCTCCACTTGGCCTGTGGGAGCCAATAGAAAACATTCTGGGACTGAAACCATACATTTGGGATTACCAACGTAACAGGTTAGCATTAAGTTACATTTACTGAGGTAACTTTATTTTTAACCTTTACTTGAGTTTTATATAAACTGAAACAATGCTACTATCAGTTTAGTTTCTGCCTACTATACCCACCCTGAATACATCACTGAATGTGATTATATTGATATCCTTTAAATATATAGGAATGTATCTTTTCAGTGGACGTACTTTACACTCCTATACAAAAATACAAATTTACTATAAGAATTTAATAGAACTGAATAAGTTTGCAAAAAAAAAAGGATGATTCTATATGAAGACGGTGGTTCCCAATAAATCCAGTGCCCTGTGAAAGTATTCGCCCCCCTCAAACTATTCAACCTTTTGCCACATTTTAGGCTTCAAACATAAAAACTAACTTTTTTTAATGAAGAATCAACAGGTGGGAAACAATCATGAAGTGAATAAACATTTATTGGATATTTTAAACTTATTATTTTTTTTTACAGCTGTAAGTCACTTGGGGTATAACTATCAGTTTTGCACATAGAGAGACTGAAAGTTTTGCAGATGCCCAGAGGGATCATGGGCCTCTAGGCTGCATCTCTGATCAAATTTAGAGGAACCTCTGTGTCTTTGTAGATTTGCAGTGGTCTGATAATCCATTTCAATATTATCACATGCACAGTGCTCCTTGGGATGTTTGGGAATTCTTTTTTGTAGCCAAATCTGCCTTTAAACTTCCCTACAACAGTATCCAGATCCATCATGTTGGTTTCTTGCTCTTCATGACGCTTTCTGCTCTTTAAACAGACTTCATTTATACAGAGTCTAGATTACACACAGGTGGATTCTATTCATCATCATCAGTTACTCTTTAGTTTTTTATTTGTTAAAAAAAAGTTTTAAAATACTCCTGACACAATACATGTTAGGGGGACTTCACAATACATATTAATTCAAACATTACTGCTAATTCCCAACATTTGTTTCACCAATATCAAAATCAGTATTCTGTTAAAGAAGGTCTTCATAGATATCCAAACCAGAAATAAAAATAGCTGAAAATATTAATATTTCACACTTCCTTCAGTTTCCTTAGACTCTCCAGGACCTGGATCACATTATAAATAGTAAATGCAGAGGAAAAGTCTTGCCCAGTTACATAACTGAGGCACACAGAGTTGGGGTTTCAAACCAGCAACCCTCCGGTTGCAAGATGAACACCTGACATGCAAGCAGGTGAGTGCTTAATAGTATTTTACTAACATTGTATTTTGTAAAAATGTAAATTGAAAAAAAGAATAAAAAAAGTAAAAACAAAGTGGTCTTCTTTTCATGCCTAAAAGTACTGTGACCTCAACCGTTTAGACTTAAATGAGTGTCATTTTTATCATCAGACCACTAGATGGGGCTAACTGAGTCTACTTACTGTAGGCTAATAGGTAAAATTTGGAAAACTTCAAATAAATATGTTGCAGAGAGAATGTTGCATGCAATGTCCTCAGAAAGGGGCACAAGATTTGTTAATAATTATGTATTTTTGTCAAATTAAATCAGCTGCTATGATCGAAAAGCTTTAGTGAAAAAGTGCTACAATTATTTTAATACAGTTTTATCTATTTTACACCTCTCTGCCAATGTAATGGCTTTTTAGACAACCTCATGCTTTGTGTCTCTGGTTGCAGGTGAAACTATTTCAAAATTTTAAGATATGTTTTTTTTTTTTTTTTTAGTTTTAGACTCATTAGTCCTGCCAATTTACTGCTCCTATCAATTTGCTGCTCTATTGCAGTTGTGGGTTTAAACACTGCAAAGATGAAAAGTAATTAGCAATTAAAGAATTAGGAGATTTCTGAGCTTTCCACACTGGAAGTCCCAACTATCACTATAAATTCCATTAAAATAAACAGAAATAAATAAATAAAAATAAAGTCCCTGGTGTGAAAAACCCCAAAACAAAATAAACAATTGAACTTTTTAATTCAGTGCTGATCCACAACAACAGCAGTTGTCTATTTAAAACAGTCTACAAAGTCTCTACGAAAGATGTTAGGGTGAGATATTAGAAATGATTCATGCCTGTAGGGAATGAGGATGTGGAGCAACAGTTGAAGAGGAAAAGGAGAGGATGATGGTGATCATCCCCTAAGAGGAGCAGCTGAAAAAAGAAGACATAGTGGGCAACTGTGATGCCACCAGGTGGCATTGTGTTGTTAGTTTGTGGAAATTGCGAGAGCAAACCCAGAAAACTTGTTGAATCAATATTTTGAAAGAAGATTAGAGGTGGCGAGTGTGAAGTCAGACAAGGTGACTTCACTCCCACCTTTTATCCAAAATCCCATCCAGATCAGTTCCTGCCTTTTGTCTGGTAAAACCTTTGCTACCAGAACTGGATCCCTTTCTGTTTACCTAATATCCTAGAAAGCAGCTTCTATCAGCGATTCTCATGATGCTGAACTCAGACCTATGTAGGTTCTGAGGAAGGATTCATCTGATGCTAATAAAACACAAACAGAAGGATTGCCACTCTCAGCAGCAAATCATGACAGAGCAGCGCTGCGGACTGCTACAGAGTGAAACAGCATTTCACCACAAACTGCAATCTCTACACATGTG